CAATATGTAAATCAATGGAAGTGTAACTGATGTGATTCTGCAATCTGTATATGGGGTAAAAATGGGAGTTCATAACCCACTTGAATCAAAGTGTGAAATATGATATATCAAGACCTATGTAATGTTTTGAACAACCAACAATAATAAATAAATAAAATTTTTTTAAAAAAAATGTCAATGAAGAAATGAAACATATAACTTTGAAAACACAAGAATTCTATCAGCTTTCAGGGAAAAAATCTTGCAAGTAGTAATACAAACTGTTATATCAGAAGAGAATTTATAGAAAAGACACTTGATGTTAAAATGGGAAATTAATCAAAGCATGTCCATCTATGATATCTGGTCCCAAAAAACACTCTGGATATCACCGCATCCAACTCACCGGTGCCTGGCCTCTGACACCTTTACCCTCTCACTTGGATCATTTCCAGCTTACAATGCTGCTTCCTCTTCCCTGCCCATTTCCACAACCCAAGTAATCTCTGTAGGCTAAATGTCTAATGCTCCCCGACTGCCCAAAATTTGTTTTAAAACTACAGAAATATATAAACAATCCACCTCCGATTCACACGTATAACTGAATGAAATGGTTAAGTGCAGAAGTTGTATAGTCTTATTTTTATTGTGACCCACTGCCTGAACCATACCCAGGATGTGACAAAACAACAGTGCAAATTTGCAGGACAAAAATGATGTAGCCTGAGTGATATAAAAATGTTCCAACAGCTTCTACTCATCTGCCTTTATAATGTGCGCATCCCATACACTCACAGACACACTTACACACCTCCCTCTTCTATTGGAATACGTGCTCTACAAGAACAAGATGCATCTCACTTTTTGTATCTCTTAAATTTCCTGCTGTAATGTTCCACATATACATTTAAATAAGTGTTTTTACAAGTTGAGTCAGAGATTCATGAATGTCCATATGACAGAGAACAGAATCATGGATAGTTCAATATATATTTTTATTTGATTGGATAAACCCACCTACCCCAAACCTACTAGCTGACAGGTGAGTGTAGGAAAGAGGATTTACAAGGAAATGAAGATAGCAGTGTAAGCCTTCTGATTATATTTTCCAAAAGGTCCTTATATTTAAATTAATTTTCATTCATTTCATATATAGTGGCTGGCTCCAGTAATGGGCTACTTAAGGAAAGTAAATATAAGTTTAAAAACGTAACAGATTATCTAATAATGTAAAAACAGAAAACCTGTAATTTTGCCAATTATTACTTTCTTTGGCATGTTTAAGCAGATTTTTTTTTTTTTTAAACTTGGCCTAATGAAAAGCCCCAAGTCCCTGTTGGTAAGTAAAAGTTCTATAGTTTCACAGATGAACTATTTTGTTCACATTTTGTTTCACAGATTAACTACTTTGGCAAAGGCAAAAGAATAACTCCAAGTGTAAGTATAAGTTAGTCAAGTAACTTATACTTATGAAATTGGTGAGGCTGTTTCACTTTGTCTATGTATTATTAATTTAGACATAACTTGGTACAATTGGGGTATAGCTCAGGGACAGAGCACACAAGGCCATGGGTTCAACTCCCAGCATCACAAAAAATAATAGAACACAAGAACGAATTCTTTCCTTCTTTCCACATATGATGCATCATAGATTTACCGTTTTAATGTTTGAGATCTCTGTGTTGCTGCTGTCTGAACTGCATTTTGACATTGTGATAGCAGTTTATTGGAAAATCACAGCATGGCCACGCTTCTGCTCTAAAAATAAATGCAAAAATAGCCAAGTGTAAGAGTCCTGTAAACTGAACATACATGAGAGTCCTGCTGATAAAGAGCTGAATAAAAGGCCCTTATTTTGTATTAAAATTTAAATTTAAAATATTTGAGTTATTTTAGGTTATGAAGTCTTATCTTACAACAAAGAACAAGAGAATGAGCTCTAACAACATTATACCTAACTTCAAGAAACTCTGGAGTATTGGGTGGGGAGTGAAGGGACCTAAAGAAAAGAGCAAGGAAAGATTTCAAAATGAATACAAGGAAATCAAAGCTAAGTAAATTTTAAAGATTATGCTTTATAGATTACAGAAAAGTGAAAAAGTAATTATGCATTTTTTCCTAAATTCACATACACAAAAGAAATAAACAGCAAGTGGCAAAGGCCTGTAATTCTGGCTCAGGGGGCCGAGGCAGGAAGATCGCAAGTTCAAAGCCAGCCTCAGCAATTTAAGAAACCCTATCTCAAAATAAAAAACAGAAAGGGCTGGGAATGTAGCCTAGTGGTTACATCCCTGAGTTCAATTCCCAATACCAAAAAAAAAGCAAAAGAAATAAAGAAGGTCACCAGAAGAGGCACTTGGCTGATAAATTGACATGACCGAGTATTAAGTCTGTACTACATGTGTAAATTCAAACAATTTTCCTTTCCCAAAGCAAAATTAAAAACACAAACTCAAAGAACAGTTATATTCACACTATAAGCTCTTTTATAAGATTAGTTTATAAACAAAAGAGTTCAAGAATACAGTTAATAATGTTAATATTGAGGAGAAGTTTAAATTTGGGGTGCCTCTCCTAAATAAGAGTATAGATTCAAAAAACTAAGAAAGCATAAAGCATCAGTAAGAAATATTTAATCAGTAAACCAGTAAACGTTGGTTTTGTTAAGATATTACACCAAATTTTATTCATGCAAATGAGCTTACTGTGATGGGTGGACTTCCCCTGGCAGTGCTCTGTCTTTACTCATCTGTTTCCAACCCTTCAAGACATTCCTGGAGAGACTGAACCTCCTCATTTCATACACTTTTTTTTTTTTTTTTTGGCTAAGCAGTTAACAAAGCAGATGGGGATAACCTTACTACTTTAGTGTATACATATTTACCTCAAAATGCTGATTCTAAGTTCTTTCAGAGATTCCAAGTCTGTATTAATTCATACCCTAGGTAACCTAAAAGCAATCAGAAAAAATATTTTAGAAGAGACAACTCATATTTAAAAATCAACTTTAAGAAATTGATTATTAACAAATTGCTACTTAACCAAATTTTCATATTCAACTTATCAGAATCAGATCCCTCATAAATCTACTTATCTACTGGAAGATAAGAAGATGTCTGAAAGAGCTGCCCTTTAAAATTAATATTATGTACTTTACCACTAGGGGAAAAAAACCTTGTTAGTACAACCCAATTAGATATAAGGGAGAACTCTTGGCATTAAGTAACATTTCCCCCAGTAAAATTTCACTTTAAAAATACTTAACACACACTATGGTAAATCATACTATGCTTTAATGATCATTTCTTCCTATCTTCTGTTATGTCAGAGTCTGTCCTAACACCACCTCATTTTTAATTCCATTCTGTACTGCCACCTAGTAAGAGGCAAAAAATACACACACCAACACAGCCTAATGTGTCACCCTCTAGATATCATTTGATTCTGCTAATTTATCCAAATTATTTTCCTAGACAATTCCATATACCCAATAGAAACAAATATGACAAGTATAACGTTGACTTATTTTATGTTGATAATACCAAGCCAACAGGTCATTTTCTGGTTTTAATTGATGACCACGACTTAAATAATAAACCTGCAAAGTTCTGCTTCATGGAGTCCTTTAAGATAACTCTGAAACAGACAGATCACACTCCAGAAACCTGGTCAAGTTTTAGTACAAGCCAACAGACTTTACTCACATTAGCATCTAAAGGCAGCAAGTAGTAGGCTGCATCCTTTCAAAGACTAGTAATGAGAGGCAACCATCTGAAAGCATCCAGACCTTCCTGGTATGAATTTTCAAAACTGATTACAGAAACTTCCAACTCATTCATCCCACTATGTGTCACAGATCCCAATATTACTAACTTTATAATTACTGTCCGATTTCATTCCTACACTCAAGTTCAAATGAACAACTTCCTTAAAGTCTCATGGTACACAAGACAGGAAAAGCACATTCTAATATGAATAATACTGTGGCATTAACATAATGTCAAAAGCACTCCATCAGCATACAAGAAAACTAAAAAATATTTGAAGGACTTTAAGTCCCTAGCAACAAAAGCTCTGTGGGGAGCTAATAAGGCATTGCTTTAACTATGACTGCTTAAGTCCTTAAAGGCACCTGGGGGTGTGGACTGCAAGGCATGAGGGTCACACACAGATTCAATTCTCCCTGCTGGAAAGGAAGGGTATGAAACTTCTCTCCCTTTGTCAGAATTTCATCCTCTTTCCCACCAGGTGCATGGACATCTAAGCCTCCTGTCTCAACAGCAGCATGTTTCCTGGAGAACCTAAGAGCATCTCTGAAATGCGATCATCAAGGAAGACAACATCAATTTCCCAATTATTTTTCCCAGTTATAATTTCCAAATTATAAAACCTACTCATAAAGACATGAGAAAATTAGAGATTTTATCTTGAAAACGTGGACATAATGCATAATAAACACTGGAAAATTAAAGGAAAAGTACAATGCAAACAACACTGAAAGACCTTTGGAAGGCCTTCAAGGGAGGACCATGTACACATGACTGCAGGTAGGCCCTGGCATGGGAACTGTGGTCACCTTCTGAACTCTGGGCAGTTGGAACAGACTGAGATTAGAGACACACAGCAAGAGGTTACAGGACTCTCATAAATTTTTTTATAAGTATATACATTCCTTTTTTCATTTTCTATTAGTCACACAGGTCCTCTGACACAGTACCTGTTCTCAATTCCAATAGAAGTCCTTCCACAAAAAAAAAAAAATTATTGCCTTGTGATAAATCAACGCTCTTTGCTCAACATAAGTTCCCGCTTTGCTTGCCTTCCTCAAAACGTTGATTCCCAGCCACCTGAATCTGTCTCCTGGATTGCAGTTCCTAGACCACGAAGAAAGCCCTTTTTACTTTCACAGTTAAAGTTTGCATTTCCCAACACCACTTAGCTACAGAAAGGTCAGATTTCTGTTTGTCTTCTCAACTGCCTGGAATGGGAACCGCAGTCTGACTTAATGCTATTCAGTAAAAAAACAATTTTTTCTTCTATCTTTGTGAAAATATTTCCAGGGGTTCAAAGTTTTTTGAATTATATTTTCACAACATTGGCTTTTAAGTGACTACACATTAATAGCCAGAGCATCAACTTGACTTAGGAAGTTAGCTGAAGACTCCAGAAGTAGGGGATCAGCGGGAGTGGTTTTCAAACAGCTTGGGTCCTTCTGTGTGGGAGTGCAGTTTAGTGTAATGCATTATTTGCTCATTTAGCTCCATCTTCGTTTTTTGAACTTCCTCTCCCCAGTGTAGAAGGCAGCATATTGTAGGGTTTCTCTAGTACGTCCAAGAAACAGATTGTTGTTACTTGGTATGAATATTTGAAAACTGGGCTGTGATTTAGGAGGCACTAAGACCCCAGGGATGTACAAAACATATTTTTTTTAATATCTTTCATTTAAAAATCATCTGAATGCTAGCAAAAGATTCTGTGCCCAGGAAGACCAAGGTGATCACTGAGATGACACTATCCCTTAAGGTTGTGTCCTTGGCTATAAAACAGAAATGTCTATTATAAAGATGATATGAGATCTTGAACTTGGTAAGGAGAAAATAAAGGACTTGGAACATGGAAAATGCTCCAAAAACAGTAGCTTTTAAAAAAGCACACCACTATCTCTATCTAGAATCACTGTTTATAAACAATTCTTAAACCTTTAAAATGTTAAGGAACTCCTTAAAGAAAACCTAAAATGCTTTATGAATCCTAAGATTCAGCAAAGAAAATGCACTCTGCTATATATTTTAAATCATACAAGACTTTTACGGTACTTTCAACACCAACTCCCACGGGGAATTGACACATGCCACCCTCATATATGCTGTGCTTTGGCAGACCCATTATTTTGAGCTGAAGGCAATTAAGAGCCAACAGATTCAAAAAAAATTTTCTTTGCCCTTCTTCACCTCTTCTACCAAAACTAAGGCATACATTCCCCCATTTCCCTAAAGTAGCAGACAGAGAAGGCCCCAACACTGGTCTGTATAAATAAACCTTACTAAATGATCCCCATCCACCACCAGCTTTCTCCGATACTTCCCAGGCCCCTCTCCACACTCAGCAGCCCTAGAAGACCACACCCTCTTTTCTGATCAAACCGTAGTATCATCCACTCAGGGAAGATGTAGCATGTAAATATCTGAGCCAAGGTATTTCTTTGGGAGTTTCACTTCTATTTCCGAAGCCAGGTGCACACAAAACTAGCAATTGCATCAATAAAAATTTTAAGCTCTTTTTCCTGTTAATTTATCTTTTGTCAGTTTAATTCAAAGACCTTATGTATCAAACCTAAGAGGACAGAAGAAATGTTTTCCTCCTCTATGTTTCCAATTACCTAGTCTATGTGAAATATGCATTACAATGAAATTTCTTAAAAATCATGAAATATGGTACATAATATGAAATAAAGTTAAACACCTTCGTATCTACTAGTTCTTTTTTAAAGCAAAAACAAAAACTAGTACGTGCCACTTAGTAGCAGGGCAGACATCACTAAAAATACTTAACTAAACTTTTTTAGGCAATGAAATATTACAGACATGGGCAAAAAATCCTATCAATCAAATAGATATATTTTGTGTTTATTTGCTTACAATACAAGTGCTACACTGAACCACAGCCCAGCCCTTTAAACCTTTTTATATTTTTTTGAGACAGGATCTCACTAAGTTGCTCTCAAACTTACAGTCCTCCTGCTTCAGCCTCTAGTGTCCCTGAATTATAGGCCTGTACCATCACACCTGACTCAAAATGGATAAATTTTGAAAATGTAAAATATAAGATAAAAATTTTAGATATCTAAAATATCCACAATATATGAGATAAGTTAAGGGTGTGTCAAGTATTATTTAGTGAATATTCAATATGAGAAGACCAAGCTCAAATCAAAGATTAGGAGGCTTAACAGGAAAGAAATTAGATAATAACTTCAAGAATTTAAACATTAGTACCTTTAAATAATGAATACACAAGAGAAATACTTAAATTTTTGCTTTTAATTGCCACATCATTATAAAAAATCCTTACTATTATGCTAGCTTATAGCATTACCACAGGCAGGAAAAAACTTCAGACAGAAATACTCCCTTTACCATTACCATTTATAATAGCAAAGAAACACACACAGAGACGTATACACACCCCAGTTTATTAAAAATGATCAGGGCATTGTTTGGAAAACCATGGTTCACTGTACATGGTGCAACTCAATTCAACCATTAAAAATGATGACGGTTTATGATGAACAAAAAGCCTACATTATGACAAACAAAAAACCCACTTTTATCTAGAATAAATTAATGATTTTGTCTTAGTTAAAAAAACAAAGAAAGGAGAAGTGAGGAGAGGAGGAAGAAAGAAAATTCACCCCCAAATTTCTGCATTTTAAAATTCCCTACAATTTGAATATGTATTATTTGTAGATCTGGAGAACAGACTTTCATGCTGAGGATGATGAGTGTGAAGACAATAGCTTAGAAAGATTATTCTGAATTAGATAATTTTAAGAAATTTTAGGTAACAAAAAATTCCTCCCCTAAATTTACCACTAAATGTGGTAAAATTTACTCCAACACCTAATTTAAACCACAAATTCCCAGTCCTTTCTATGCACTTTTCTATGAACCAAACAAATTTCTGGGTTTTTCTAAATCTGTAACATAAATATATCATGTTTAGATTTCAACATAATCATGCCTAAAATTAGATTTGTCCAAAACTGATGCTGAGCACAGGTCAAATACCATTTTAACAAATTCCATCCATCAAAATCTCCCATATGAAACACATCATCGAGGCTGCCGGCCAATGGCCCACTTACTGGGAGTACTTCTCAGAAAGATGACATTCCAACACCAAAGCTGCAGATACCCACCAGCCCTCCC